GGGTCGAGAACCAGTGAGTTAGAAGATTCTCCAGATCACAGAACTTTAGGAATCACCCAGAATTCTAAACTTCAAACTTAGGGAACCCTTTAGAAAACAGCCCTAAGTCACCAGGAATTGAGGTGGGGGTGGGGCTGGGCTCAAATGTGCAGAAGTGTGGCCGTGGATCTGTGTGTGTTCCACCAGAAAGTCCTCATGCCACGGTGAAAGAGCCCAGGCTCCTTTGAGTGAGCCTTTTAGCCATTTTGAGCCTCAATTTCTTTCTCTGCAGAGGGTTATGGCGAGAGTTCCCACCCCGTGGGGCGACTGTAGGGGTCAGAGATAATGCAAGCTGGAGCTCCCAGTACAGTGCCTCACGCTTGGTGATTATTGAGACAATGGCCAGTAGTGTTGTTATAGATATCGTTACCATGACTGTTTTTTACTATTGGTAGTACCACCCAGTATTTTTACATTTTACAGGGAGGCATCCACAGAGCATGACTGCGTGAGGACCAAAGCTCAAGACCCACTGGCCATCTACTTCACAAGTGGCACTACCGGGGCCCCCAAGATGGTGGAGCACTCCCAGGCCAGCTATGGTCTGGGTTTCGTGGCCAGTGGAAGGTACGGTGGACAGCTTGTCTGACGGGTCCAAGGAACCGAAAGGAGGCTAGTAAGCTGGAGGGGTGTGAGTGAGGGGGAAAGGGGCAGGAGTTGAGGTCAGAGAGCTAAAAGGGGTCAGAGCAGGTAGGATCTAAAGGCTTTGGGCTTTACTCTGAGAGAGGTGAGAAACCATCGGAGGGTTTTCTTTTTTTAATTGTGGTAAAATAGACACAACATAAAATTTACCCTTTTAAACATTTTTAAGTGTAGAGTTCAGTGGCGTTAAGTACACTCACGTGGTTGTGCCATCATCTCCACCATCCGTCTCCAGAACTTTTTCCTCTAGCAAATCAGAAACTGTACCCCATACACAATAATTCCCCATTCTCTCCTCCCCCGAGGCCCTGGCAACCACCATTCTATTTTCTGTCTCTCGGAATTTGACTCCTCTGGGAGCCTCGTATAAGTGGAATCATACAATATTTTTCCTTTTGTGTCTGGCTGATTTCACCTAGCGTAATGTGTTCAAGTTTTATCCATGTTGTAGCATGTATCAGAATTTATGTTTTAAGGCTAAATAGTATTCCAGTGCATGTATATACCAATTTTGTTTATCCATTCATCCATTGATGGACACTTGGGCTGCTGCCACTTTTTGGCTATTGTGAATAGTCCTACTATTAATACAGGTGTACAAATATCTGTACAAAACCTTGCTTTTAATTCTTTTGGGAATATGCACTGAAGTGGAATTGCTGGATCATATGGTGATTCTATGTTTACTTTTTTGAGGAACATTGGAGTATTCTGAACAGAAGAGAGACATGATCTGATTTGTTTTTTTGTTATTTGTTTTTTTAAGATTTTATTTTTTCCTTTTTCTCCCCAAAGCCCCCCGGTACATGGTTGCATATTCTCCGCTGTGGGTTCATTTATTTTTTTAAAGGATCACTCAAGATATTGAGAATAAACTGTAGGGGGCAAGGAATGAGGCAGAGGACCAATTAAGAGGCCAGTGCATTCAGAGGTAAGGGTGGAGGCTTGCCCAGTGGAGTAGCAGTGTGAAGGAATGACAGGAGGCGAGATTCTGAACGTATTTTGAATGTGGGCCTAATAAGATTTCCTGACAGATTTGATGTGAGGTGAGACAGAAAGGGAAGAGTCAAGGATGACACCGAGTTTGATGACCTGGACAACCAGAAGCGTTAACTGAAGGGGGAAGACTGTGGGATGAGCTGTCTGGCGGGAGGAAATGGAGGAGATTGTTTCTGGCATTGAGGTGCTTATTGGACATCTCTATTCCCCGAGTTAAAAGTGGAGATGTTGACTAGGCAGTTGGGTGTTTGTGTCTAGAGTTAATGAGAAAGATTCATGCTGGAGTTATCAGCATAAAGATGGTATTTAATGCCAGGAGATTGGGTGAGATCAGCAAAGAGTAATAAATATGGAAAAGAAAAGAGATCTCAGAACTGAAGGCTTGAGGCATTTCCACAATGAAGAGGGGAAGCGAGGAGAACTCAGCAGAGGAGACTGAGAAGGAGCAGCCAATGAGTCAAATGAGGGCCAGGAGAGCGTGCGACCCAGAATCCAAGCGTAGAACATGACAATGTCTCTGTCTTCCATGCTTGCAGGCACTGTTTGCCATCCGAAGATCTTCTTCTTTCTCTGCCTCACCTTTGTAATTCCTACGTATTGTTTACGTCTAGCTCAGGTGTCAACTCCTCTATGGGAGTGTTTCTCAGACCCCACATCCGTCCTTTCTCTGGGTTAGGTGCCCATTGTCTGTAATTGCATAAGGCTCTGTGTTTAATTCAATTAAAGCATACTCTCCAGGGGCTTCCTAGATCTTTATACTTACTAAACCATAAGCCCCTCAAAGCAAGACTCATCATTCATTTCTACATCCCTAATGCTAAGTTCAGAAATAAATGTTGGCTGAATAAAGTGCCCTTGTCACATGGTATTGAAATTATTTGTTCCCTTACATATCACTCCCACTGAACTGCAAGCTCTTGAAAGCATGGGATCTGTCCTTTTAATTCTGTATCCTCAGCCCAGGGCATAGGTGCATAGGAGATGCTCATAAATGCTTGTTGAGACAAAGGTTGACTTTATGGTACTTGTACAGATTTGACAAGCGTACGTGAGTACCCACTGTGGGCAGGGCTCCAAATAAGGTAATATAGATAATGTAATCCTTTTTAAAGGTATAAGCATTGCTGAAGGTCCTGACTTTCTCTGATTTTTGGCAGGCAGTGGGTGGCCTTGACCGAATCAGACATCTTCTGGAACACGACTGACACTGCTTGGGTGAAGGCAGCCTGGACCCTCTTCTCCGCCTGGCCTAATGGATCTTGCATTTTTGTGCATGAACTTCCCCGAGTTGATGCCAAGGTTATCCTGAAGGTAAGAGCCAAAAACAGCTCTTACGTGCCGTGTGTAAATGAGATGAGTGGAATATAGGTTTTGAGTTTGTGGGAGAAAGGGCTCAAATAAGGGGCCAGTTCACCTGCTCCATCTCCATGAAGTCCAACCCCAGAATTTTCAGAAGATCTTCTACTCTTTGTTTTTCTTTAGACTCTCTCCAGGCTCCCAATCACCACCCTCTGCTGTGTCCCCACCCTCTTCCGGCTGCTTGTTCAAGAGGATCTGACCAGGTACAGCCCATTTGTTTAGTGTTTTGGGGGCCTAAGTATACGAATAGACAGCAGAATATATACACATGCACACCCACCCTCTCATTCTAACTGTCTCTCTCTCTGTCTCTCTTTGTATGTCTTTCTCTCTCACACACTCAAGCATACACACCGATATCCTTGGCAGACAGCCCTCAACAGTGAACTTCTGGCCCCTAGGAATTTGCATCCAGGTGGAACTGAATAGATATGAGACAGTCTGAAATTTCAGCGCTTGAGGTGGGCTGTCCTCCTGCCATACGTCCATAGGCCATTGCCTTAACAATGTCTACTACTTCTAGAAGATGTAGAGAAATTGTTGGATAATTGTTGGCCACATGTAGAATGGAATTTGTGACCAACGCCTTAGGTCTGGTGGGGCTAGCAAGCTCACCACAGTAGATGTTCCGTCTCTCAGCCCCAGACTAACTCCAGCCAGCCATTCTCTGAGTGAATGCCACTGAACACTCAACAGAAGGGGACAAGACACTGTGGATGGCTTCCATTCTGGGTGAATCCAAAGGAACATCTTCTGGCAGGACAAGTGTAGTTGCTGGCGTATGTGGAGAGAGACCTGACACCCTTGAGAATCCTACCTGGTAGGATGGACCCTGGTCTATGACTCCTTCTTCTGTCCTCTCCCAAGTCTTGGGGAGTTGTCCCTGCCCTCCCCTCATCTTCCCTAATCCCATGTATCTGGCCAAGAAGTGTCTAAGAGAGTGTGTTCTTACAGGATTGTCTCAAGGTGAATTTTTCTATAATATGAGAATTTATCCATTCACTGATCTGTTGTGTGTATCTCCACATCATGACTTTGAACAAAAGCAGACTCTGAATGATTTGTTCAAGAACCATTTGGTTGAAAGATACTCAGTAATATGAAGTAACAGTCAAACCTATTTGATCTTAAGAGAAAAATTGTTGACAATGTATTTGCAATCTCTGATTTTTCACATTTTGGATCATTTGTTGAACAGAGGGGTGGTTTGACAACATATGTAATATCTGTAGGAATTTTAAGCCCATTTGTCAGAATTTTTGGGTTTCAAGAGGGCTACTTTCTATCTTTTAAATTTTTAATTGATTTATCTTTTTCAACCAGGTGGTTGTCCCAACCAATTTATTATCAATCAATTTGTTTCCAACTAGATTATTTTGGCCAATTCACCTGGAATTCAGCACATTATGCCAAAACCTACTACATGAGGTTCTGATTTAGTTCTAAACTCAGGACTGATTTTAATAAAATTGCCTGTCCATGAGGAACACGCCTGCAAGCCAGAGGATGGGGCTCTTGGAGCAGATCATAGAACCCAGGAGTTTACTCTCTAGTGCCTCTCGGTATCTGGACCTGGGCAGCAGTGCTGGAGGGCGAGGTGGGGAGGGGGATCCTGACATAGATGGCCTTGTGTTCTTGGCGGAGAAAGGTACCAGTTCCAAAGCCTGAGGCATTGTTTGACTGGAGGAGAGGCCCTGAATCCTGATGTGAGGGAGAAATGGAAGAGCCAGACGGGCCTGGAGCTGCATGAAGGTTACGGCCAGTCTGAGACAGTGAGTTCTACTGGGGCTGGGGTCCCTGTCCCAAGGTCACCTCCACCCAAGCTCTCAGCCAGCCAGTGGCAGAGCCTCCTGCCTTTCTAGCTGTCCTCTCTGTGACACCTGTCAGGAACTGCCCTGCCTGCAGGGAGGAAACTGATAACAAATCTCCCAAGTTGTCCAGGATTAAAGTAAATCCAATTAAGTAAATAAATTTATATGTAAAATGTAAACTGGTACAAAATTAAAACTTGATTTCCTCTTTCTTAAAAGGATAATTTTCCTAAATTTTTAATCTACTCTTGATAAAAAGGTTATATAAAGGCTTTTTTTTTCTTTTTACTATTTTAGCTCTGTTTCCCCTTGATTGTTTCTGTTTGGGATTTCAGCATTAGCTGCCCTCTCTCCTTGCTCACCACTGTGCAAAAATAAAATTCCTACTTTCTTCACCACATCCAGTGTCAGAGATCGGCTTGCTGCGCAGTGGGTGAGCGAACTCACTTCAGGTTCGATATCAATCTTATTTATTTAAACAATTTCCTGTTGTTAGAAATTTGAGTTCTTTTTCTTTTTAGTCCTTTTTTCTTTCTTTCTCTAGTCTTTTTCATTTTTTGCTTTTATATACAATGCTGTAATATCATTTACATAACTAATTTCCTGCTGTTAGAAACGTAGAGCTTTCCTCCACCTTTGTTGTCTGTTATAAACAACACTGTAACGAACATCTGTGCATTTGACAGTTTGTTTCCCTAGGAAAATAAGTATATTCTTTATACTGGATATAAAATGGAGATGGGCATATTAATTTAATTGACATGTGCAATTTGAGCTCTTTGAGGCAGTCAGTGTGAATTTGAAATATGCTTGCAGATGAGGGAGGGTGAGCTTACCCGGTCAGTCCTGCTGGCCACCCATCACTCACACAGAGCTCTGGGCTGACGTTCTCTATTAATGGTCAAATGCTCCATGATTCTCATGCAGGGATTTATATTTCTTCTTAGTTAAAAATGACCCAGAAAGAAAACTAACTGCTGGTGTTGGTGATGGAAAGAAAAAGTTGAAGAAAGTGAAGGTTCCTATCCAGAAAATAAGTTTCAAATTACTTTACTCTCTCAATGGGATGATCACAGACCCAGAGAGGCTGTGTATGTAAGTCTGTGAGGACCAGTGTACTGTCTTTCCTGTCCACTGCCGTATACTTAGTGAGACGAAGTAGACACTCAAAAAATAATGAATGAATAAATTCTTCAGGAAATTCAAGGACTTACTATTGCTTACAAAAATGATTAGAAGGAAACACATTCAAATTTTAACAGTATCTCTGCTTGGGGTAATTACTATGTTGTTTTGTAAGTTTCTGTGACTTTAAATAAAATACTGTGAAAGACTATTTCTCTTGTGGTCACAGAGAAGCCACTAAAATACATATACAACATTCCAAAAAACAAATGGACTGACTTTTATTGGCTCTTTCCAATACTGTAGCTGACTGCTGGCTTCATACACACACCAGATGGAATTCCTATAAAGCCGTGGTCCTCAACCTTGGCTGCACATTTGAATCCCCTGGGAGAGCTGATCCACCCCATCAGAAAGGTTGACCTCATTGAGGCGGGCCTTGAGTGTCAGAAATGTTTGAAGCTTCCAAGGTGTTTCTAATGTGCAGCCAGGGTTGAGAACTGCGTCTGCAGAAATTTACAGAGAAGAGTTTGGAGAAAAGAAAGCCCATCATCAACACCAGCCAAGGTGCATATAAAGGAGAGGTAATCACTGGATTACTGCAGAAACTTGGGCTGGAATCCTTGGACACAGCCCTGCCAGCAAACCCCTATTTGCACAAGACTCTAGACAAAAAAAAAATCCTGAAAACCAGGCTCTGACCCGAAATTTCAGTTCGACCTTTGATAAGTCCCTTTTCTTCTTTGAACCTTGATTTTCTCACCACTAAAATGATGCGGTTGCCTTTATATTATAAGTTTGCACTCTCAGACACACCCATGTGTGAATCCCATGTCCTGCACATACTAGTTGATTGACAGTGGATAAGCTTCTCACCTTTCCAGCTTCCTTATCAATTTTTTAGTGCAGTCGAGTTGATTCTGACTCCTAGGACCCTGTATACAACAGAGTGGAACCCTGCCCGGTCTTTCTGTGCCATCCTCTCACCTTCCGGCGCTATATCAGGCAATGCTCTGCTGCTGTTCATAGGGTTTTCATGGCCAATTTTTTTCAGAAGCTGGTGGCCAGCTTCCTCTTCCTAGTCTGTCTTAGTCTGCAAGCTCCGCTGAAATCTGTTTGCCATGGGTGGCCCTGCTGGTATTTGAAATACCAGTGGCATAGCTTTCAGCATCACAGCAACACACAGCTGCCACAGGATGACAACCGACAGACAGGGTATGGTTCTCTGACCGGGAAATGAACTCAGGCTATGGTGGTGAGAGTGCTGAATCTTAACCACTAGACTACCACCCTTACCAATAATAGAACCTTATCAGTAATAGTACCAATCTACCTCACACCGTTATCACAAGGGTTCAACAAATAGATGTTTATAAAGTGTGGAGCACGATGCTTGGCACACAACAATTACTGTGAAAACGGTCATTCCACACCACTTACCAAATAGCAATTGAAGAAACAGAAGGGTCTGGCGGGTCTGACACGGACAGCAACATTCCCCTCTGCTCCTGGAGGCAGGATGTTGCCCTCATCATCCACAATCTGGCAGAGAGATCACAGGACAGTATCTGATGCCCGCACAGCCAGGCCACCCTGCCAGCCGAGCCTGGTGTTGCTAACCTGGACGTGGATTTTGCTCTCCTCTTCGAACCAAGCCTCACCAACAGCTGGGCGAGGCTGCCTACCTGCACGTCGTAAGGTGGGGATGCTTTCCCCATAGATCCTGACTTGATTTTCGTGCCTTTTGGATTGGCACAGATTACAACCTGGAGAGAAACCAGTATCAGTAAGGAGGGGATTTATCCCCTTAGTTTCCTTCCTGGTCTATGCCTTTTCTCTCACTCAGCCTTCCAACTCTTTCTCCCTCCCTTTCTTCCACTACCCTCTCTTCCTTTCTTCCCTTCCTTTCTCCTTCCCTCCCTCCCTTCCTGTCTTTCTTTCTCTCTTTCTTTCTTCTTTCTTCTTTTTCCCTCTTCCTTCCTCCCTTCTCCCCTTCCTTCCTCCTCATCTTCTTTTCTTTCTTCTCTTCTTTCCATAATCATCAAACATGTATTGAACACTCTAGAGGGCACTCACACACAAAAAACTTAACGTGTCTCACAAAAGACTCAGCTGATGGCCAAATCTCTGCCCAGGTGGCTGTAGAGAATACTGTTTAAGATCAAGGGCTCTGAATGCAGACAGACACGGGCTGTCCTGGTGGAGGCAAACACCACCCACAGCCGTGAGAGTTAGTTTGCTGGTGGCATGATTGCGAAATTAGTTTAAACTGCCTTTACACAATAAGGGAAGAGAAGCTGATGGAGATTTGTTATCAGTTTCTCCCTGCAGGCAGGGCAGTTCCTGACAGGTGTCACAGAGAGGACAGCTAGAAAGGCAGGAGGCTCTGCCACTGGCTGGCTGAGAGCTCGGGTGGAGGTGACCTGGGACAGGGACCCCAGCCCCAGTAGAACTCACTGTCTCAGACTGGCCGTAACCTTCATGCAGCTCCAGGCCCGTCTGGCTCTTCCATTTCTCCCTCACATCAGGATTCAGGGCCTCTCCTCCAGTCAAACAATGCCTCAGGCTCTGGAACTGGTACCTTTCTCAGCCAAGAACACAAGGCCGTCTATGTCAGGATCCCATCCCCACCTCGCCCTCCAGCACTGCTGCCCAGGTCCAGATACCGAGAGGCACTAGAGAGTAAACTCCTGGGTTCTATGATCTGCTCCAAGAGCCCCATCCTCTGGCTTGCAGGTGTGTTCCTCATGGACAGGCAATTTTATTAAAATCAGTCCTGAGTTTAGAACTAAATCAGAACCTCATATAGTAGGTTTTGGCATAATGTGCTGAATTCCAGGTGAATTGGCCAAAATAATCTAGTTGGAAACAAATTGATTGATAATAAATTGGTTGGGACAACCACCTGGTTGAAAAAGATAAATCGATTAAAAATTTAAAAGATAGAAAGTAGCCCTCTTGAAACCCAAAAATTCTGACAAATGGGCTTAAAATTCCTACAGAT